GTACATATCCACTGCTCCCTGGCCAGGCCCATCCTGAACCCAGCAGCGGTGTATACGCCACGCCCTCCTGGGTTGGCCAGGCGGGCGTACACACAGCTCCTGGGTTTAGGATGGGCTTGGCCAGGACGCAGTGGATATGTATAGATTTCGTCGCCCAACGTTATCGCCAGGGTGATTCAGGAGAGAATAAAAAATAAACAAAAAAACAACAAAACAAGGAAACGGGCCCAAACAGGGCGCTGCGCGCGCGGGCGAGTGGGTATTGCTCGATGTGCGAGCCGTGATGTAATCAGCGCTAGTCGCACGGGCCGTGCCCGCCGCGCGCAAATCACTGATCACAAAGCCTTGGCTTGGCTCGGCGCAGCGCGGTCGTGCCTCAAACGGCCTGCAGGGAGGTGGGAGAGAGGAGATTACCACTGCAGAGGCCTGCGATGATCGATCAAAGTCTGCACTGCGTGAAGATGGTGAGCGATTTCATATTCGGCGTTTCGCCATCGGGCGGGAGGGTCGGGAGAAGGGGGGCTCTGGCTCCAGACCTCTGCTCAATGCGACTGGTTGCAGCAGTGCGTCCTGCTCGAAACAGGCACCGAAAACTGCCAAGATCTACACCCTGCGAAATGCTTAAGAAATCATGGGTTAAGAAATTCATAGTCTCAGAACTTGAATAAAGGCCCAACATGTCGATCAAAATCTTAGGATTTTCATTGAAACATTAAGAATAATCGAGACTCTGGCCGAAAACTTGGGTTTTCTTAAGCATCGCCTAAGGTGTACTCCATGAGGGGGGGAGGGGGGGGTGCGAGGGTCCGCGCCCATCGGCAAAACAATGAACAAAGAACGATCAACTTCGCTGCGGCCCGAGTGAAGTCTGTTTGAGCACCGCCTGCTATCGCGATGACTCGGCACTGCGCTGACACAGCGCCGCTGGGAGAGATCGGAGACAAAAGAGCAGGCGGGCGAGGGGAGTGGTGCAGATTGCATCATGGTGTAGCCCCTCTTGTCCCCGTGGACGGTTCGCATTTACAGTGGATTTGCGCTCCTACTACAACCCCACCTGTTCTCATACACAGTTCAAGCTTTCAGTGGATTCGCAAGCGGCTGACTGGCAGTGACCCTCCAATGGCTGCAGTAGGCTGGCGTTCAGATTGCATCGTATTACAACCCGTCCTGGTCTTGTGGATGATTCCAGATTTCAAAGGATTGGCAAGCGGCTGACTGGTAGTGACTTTCGAACGGCGGCAGCGTCTATAAACTATGTCTGATGTTAAAGGCCTCTAGAAGTCGGTGTGCGTCCACAGTGGCTCGGGCATCGTCTGTAGTATCGTCGTCGGCTCGTGTTCTTCGCCTGCGTGTAACCACAAAGACGCGGAACAACTGTGGAACGAGCTCTATGGATGCAAGCCAGTCCGTGTCCAGAAGCAGGCCAAGCTTTATCATGTTTACGCTCAGAAACTGCTGCTTAGCCTTTCGCGGCGGCGGCCCCAGCGACACGACATACCCTGCGAGCGGATAGCGTGCCGATCCGCTGGACGGCGGGCAAATCTCGGGACGTAGACGCTTGGAAATCGGGACGTAAAAAGCGTGTCGCGATGAAAAATGGTGGGCCAGAACCGGCGGAGCGACACGCTGAGCAAGAGCTTCTGATCGCAAGTAGGAAGGCGACGCCACAGGCCTCGCGCAGGGGAGCCCCCTGGGTAAAATGGATTGCCTCGGCGAACGGGGCTGCTCCCACGGAGGCCTCCTCGGTGGGGTCCGAGCAGATATGAGGCCGGAGGATCGCACCGCGTCGCCGGCGACGTCGGCGATGCTTCGGCGCAGTCGACAAAATGAAAATCGAACTCCACATCGAGCCTCATCGCCGACGTATCTGGGGAATCCGAAAGGTACCGATACCGCTACTCCCCCGACCTCTCACAGGGTGCGTTCTGACCAGGATTTCGAAGCGAATCCAGCGGTATGGGTACCTTTTCCTCCTCTGGGTATCGGCGCTGCGGGATCTTGGAAGCCTGGATCCCAGTAGGGGCCCATGGGGCGAGAGTCAGCGGGTCACGGACCCTGCCGCCACACCTCTCAGGCGCCACACCTCTCAGGCCCTTCTGCCGCGACCCGGAGGCGAGGCCCCGACGGACTGGCCCGCGGCGCAGGAAGGCCCCCTCCTGGACCCCATCGGCCTGCTCCGGGAGCACTGGACCCAAAGATGTTGACATATGTTCGGGGCGTATTCGTTGATCGGGGGGCCCCAGTAGGCCCGCAGCGAAGCTCACTCCAACGAAAGGTCACTCTTACATCGGTTCGACTCCGCCACCTTCCGCCGGCCTTCCGCCAGCTTCCGCCGGCTTTCCGACGGCGGAGCAACCCGCTTGGCTTCCGCCGCCTTCCGCTGGCCGTCCTTTTTTCAACGCAACTCCCATTGCCTCGGAAGTTTAGCGGGGGCTCCAGCACAACCGTGAAAACGACGCGGCGCGTTTCCAATCCGAAACGAGGCCCTGAAACGGACAGCGGGCGCGGAGCGGCGGCCGACAGGCCTCAGCCCCGCACCCCTTCCGCGAGTAAGAGATACCAACTCCTTCGATCCTCGAAGGCAGACTCTGTCTTGGGCGCCCCAGCTGTTGATGCACTTGTTCCCCTTCTGTGCTGGCACGCGCCCACGATCTGGAGGCCGCCTGCAGATAGCGTGGGCGGACGTGTGCGACGAAAGAGCAGCTCGCCCGACGTGGACAGCACGTCGTGGCCCAACATCGGTGGTCTCCTCGCGCTGCAGCGCACCGGGTGGCCGATGGCTTCTGCGCGCACCACTGCAAGCGACGAGGGAGTCGCGCATGATTCGTTGCTTGGGTATCCGCATGGTGTACGTATCGTGTTCCGAGCTGGCGCTCAGGGGTGGCAGACGGCTCGTGGCTCGCAGCATGCTCCCGATGCCACTGGCGAAGAAAAGATACGAGCCATTCAGATCGTTGACGGGACAGGGCAAGACACGGCCTGATGTTTCAGCGAAAGTGAACTCACTTGTCTCCAGTGCGACGAAAAGCTGCTGCGTGTCGTAGCAGTTGCAAATCAGGCCGTCAGAACCCTGGGGCGCCATACTCATGATTGCGGATGAACCTTGTTCTCAGGCATCCCGACAGGGAGCACCCTGATGACGTCCTGGAGCACAGGCCTGAGCTGAGGGACAAACGGGCGTCAGGGCTTGGAGCCCCCGAACGGGGCGCCTTAGAGCTCGTTTACGTATGGGTTTCCCCTTGGAGCTGTCGTGCTGCAACCCATCCCAGAAGAGCTCCCTTGCTGCTCCTGGATTGGAAAAGCGCATCTACACCGACTGCTCTGGAGTGGCGAACACCAGTCCAGAACTTCAACCGTGTGGACGAGCCGCGGCAGAAATGGCCCCCAGCGGGTCTCCGATTCGCGCTGTGTGCGGAGCTCTGGGCGGCACCATACGGTGCATTGCGTGTTGAACGGTTTCTCAAATATCCGGCGCGTCGGGCTGGCCCCTTGGATGCGCACAATGTTTGGGACAAATGTAGTCCTCTGCATGCGACGCTTTGACGCCGCACTTTTACCCTGCCTCGGGACCAGCCCGGGCAGGCCCTCGTCCGAGTGGACGCCCGCCTGCCGTGACCGACGGACGCCCAGGGTATCCTCGGGAACGCGTGGGCGGATGTTGTTCGCTCGAGCGGGAGCCGAGTCCATCGCTGTAGCGAACGCTGCTGCCGATGTGTAGAGGGCGTAACTTAAACAGGTGAACCTCACGTCCGAAAGCACTTCCAGGCTCGCGCAGCCAGCTGCCGTGTTGGCTCAAGAGCTTTCGATCCCACGGGGTCCCACGACCAGTAGTGGAGCTCACCCTAGTAGAAGTTCTGTGGTCGTTACCCAGCATGTCTTGTATCAGTCAATCTCGCTTGGAGCATGGCGTTGCCCAGTGTGCAAACTGTTCGGGCGGACACTCGCCTCCCTGGCTCAACTGTGAATAGGAATCAGGAAGGTGTGCGACTCCACGGTGTTCCAAGCATGGCCTGCTCATGGTTTCCAGAGGGAGGAAAGGATGAGACCCCATGGTGTTGTTGACGCAACGAAAGCTGCATCTGGGGTCCTGGGATGCCCGTGAAGAGGCCGCTGCATCAAGCAGGCCATGTTGTGTTCTGTTCATTGTGCTGTGCGTGCTGTAGTATGTCCAGCGGGGCCTGCCATGGTCTTAGCGACCAGTGCAATGGGCGCGGTGACCAAACTTCGACCCACTCCTCGCAAGTCTTGATCATCAAAAAAACGCTGCGAGAGAGGTTCATCCATCATCGGGTAGGGGTTCGCTCTGAGCCGTAGAGGGGGGCTTGCCGAGGTGTTGAAAACTTCCTCTCGGGAGGCTTCCCCCTCACCTGTTGGGCTAGAGGGTGGGCCATGCTCTATGCCCTCACCGTGCTGGTTTCGCGCGTCACCTCAGTCCGAGACTGAGGTGGGGCGTGCGTGTCAATTTTACCTTTGCGCTCCTGCACCTCAGTTGCGCCTCAAGCTGCTCGAAACTCCTCACCCTCCCACTCCTCACTCACTCACTCACTCACTCACGATTCACCCTGGCGCACCCAGATAGGGCACATTGTGGCCGAGACCCTGAAGAGCAGGCTTGGAATTGCCTGAACGGTGACTTTGGCAGTGGTGCTGAAGCACCTTGTGCGTGCCCGTCCCCCGGAGGCCGGGTCTCGCAGTTGCGAACTGTTTCTGCTTGATGGGTTTCTGGGGAAACCGTGCCTGCCCCATCGCTCGCTGGTGGGACGCACCGTGCGCTGGCGCAAGTGCGCACGCAATCTCCACCAACTCCTGCGCCAAGGGCCATAACTACGACGGGCCTCCTCCTCCTCCTCCTCCTCCTCCTCTTCCTCCTCCTCCTGTACCTCCTCCTCCTCCTCCTCCTCCTCCTCCTCCTCCTCCTCCTCCTCCTCCTGCTCCTGCTCCGCCTCCTCCGCCTCCTCCTCCCCCTCCTCCTCCCTGGTCTAGCTTACTACCCCTGAGACCGCAGCGACGCCAGCTCGGCCAGCAGCGTCCGCGCGTAGGACTCGTACTCGCTCTCCTGGGAGGGCGCAGAGCACCCTGGGACACGCTCTCGCCTGGGACCCCGCCTGGGCCTCCAAACCTCGCGCCTCCCGCTGCGCGAACTGCGAGGCACCGCCCAGGCTTTCCGGGCCCACCGGCAGCTCTGG